TTTCAAAATGCTAATATCAGTGAAAAATATTCATTGATATTAGCACTGATTAAATATTTGTTAAATTTACACAATGTTGTAAACCTATAAAGTAGTAAATAATTAAATCGATAAAATGTTTAGGCTTAGAATTTCTCATTCAATTTAAATGGTCATCATTTTCAATGAATAGAAGTGTCCATTTGAATAGGAGAAAATTGGTTAACTGGAAATTAATGCTATTCATTTAATGGATAGCGGTTTGATTTTTGTTCTGATGGTTCTCATATTTTGCATATATGCATTAGGAATATCATTGATAACAACCAATCGTTATCATTTATCATACATCCATTATTATCAATCTTTTATATATCTTTTCTTTTCATTTTTTTTCCCTTTTCCTCTTTTTTCTTTCAGAACTTTTATCTTTTCTAAATATTTTTATAATTTTATAAAAAAAAAAAAGAAAAAGAAATGATAAATGAATATTTTTCATTCGTTTGCTTTTTCTTTCCAATCAGAATTGGATCGTTTTCCCGGAAAAAAATAATCTTCTTTCCGGAATTTTTTTTCCTGAACAAATGTTATGGAATAAAAAAGAAAAAATAAAGGGAATGATATTTATTCTTGCTTAAATGATTCCGATAAATGTTTTGATTTCAAATTTGTTATTCAATTCCAATTAATTGATTTTGCAATTCGAAATATATGAATGTATAACAATAGAATAATGGAATTTATTTCTTTTCACTTTTTTTTTTGTCTTACAAAAATAGATTTTTAACTATAATTAACATTTTTGAAAGAATTGCATAATTTTACAAATTTTATTTTTTTTTTAGAAATATTAATTTGAAATTTTAGAAATATCAACTTAAAATTATGCATAAACATTTATTTCTATCTCTTTCCATCTTTCCTTTTTTTTCCCTCTCTCTCTCCTTCGCTCTCTGTGGTAGAGGGAGAGAGATAGAAAAGATGCAAAAAAAAAGTAATATAATAGGGCGACAAATGTATTAAAACACAAATGAAAAACTTTAATTTGAATTAATTTGAAAATTTTTTTAAAATTATTTGTCAAAATTTATATCACACTTTTTTCATGCCAACTTATTTTTATCATTAACAGTGATAAGAAGAGGAATAATTGATATGATAAGAAATTTATATCACACTTCTTTCATGCCAACTCATTTTTATCATTAACAGTGATAAGAAGGGGGATAATTGATGCGATAAGAAATTTAAATCACATTTTTTTCATGCCAACTCATTTTTATCATTAACAGTGATAAGAAGAGGGGTAATTGATATGATAAGAATATAAATATGTTTGAATGAAATTATTAAAATGTATATGCATGTGTTTTTCCTTTTTTATTACAATCGCTGAATTTTGTTAAAAAAATGTAACGAATTTTTTTTATAATAATAAAAAATTTTTAAATTACATAAATGAAAAAAATTATAAACCAAAAATTTTTTTTAACTAAATTTTATCATACAGTATTACATTTCATTTCATTTTACTTCTTTAAATTTTTCATTTTTTGAAACAAATATTTTTAAAAAAAAAAAATGCTATCTTGATAAGTAATATTTAACGCTAAAATTAGACGTTAAAAGTGATAGCAACAATTTTTCATTTCATATGAATCATTTGGCTCATTAAATTTTTCATTTCGCTTAAAATTTTTTTACTTAAAAATTTTTTGCTTAAAATTAAAATTTTTCATTTCACTTTTCTTAGCAAATAGCAACCTTTTTCTTTTTTTTTTGTTTTTTGGATATTTTACTATCAATTTTTTTGGAATGTAAAAATATTTTGTGAAACTTTTATTTACTTTTTTTTTTGTAGCTATAGTTGTTCGTAAATTTTAGCTTTGAAAATTTAATTTGACATTCATGACGATGGAATGACAAATTTGATTATCTCAGTGTGCATCATTTAAGTTATTTCGACAAAAAGGTCAAAGGTTTGATTGATGTAAAAGGATCGATGGAATGATTTTTTCCTCTTTTACAATAGTTTCATAAATTTCAAATTTTTCTTTTCTGTAATCATTTTTAATTTTTTTTTTTTTTAAAAAAATAAGATTCATAAGTATTTTATTTAAATCAGATTTAGTTTGGCAAAAAAAAAAATATCACAGTAGGATAAGAGATTTTTAGTTTTGTTTTAACAATTATTTAAAATTATATAAAAATACTGATAATGAAATTACTGAAAAAAGACACTGATAATGATTTATGGAAAAATTTAAAATTATTTAAAATTATTGCTGATGAAATTACTAATTTTGATTATTGATAATAATTTGAGTTAATTTCAAAATGAAAAGTTTGTTGATAATAATAATATTGACAATAATAATGATGTTAATAATGAAAATATTGAAAATATTGATAATAATAATGAAAATATTGTAGAAATGCAAAATTTTGTCGCAATTTATTCATTTTTCTCGATACTTCTTTTTTTTTTTTCGTTAGCAATTGCAATGCTTAAAGCAACAATGAAATAATCGTACAACTTAATTAAATTTAAAATTATTTATAGAAATGCAAAATTATTTCTTCGTTCAAAAGTCAGCTAAACTAATGTAAGCTTTTTGGAAGCTAACATTTTGTGCCGTAATTTGATATCGCCTATTTCGTGTTGTAAGAAAATGAATTTAGCAAAATTTCCTCTTGTTAATGATTTGTTCATTGCTCTAACAATTTAAATTTAAAATTTTGAAAATTGGGATAGAATAAATGCAAAAAAAAAACAAACGTTAATATGAAATGAATTATTCAAATGATTACATTGGAAAAGTTTTAAATTTAAATAAATTTCTTAAATGAAAATGAAATTTGTTTTTTTTGATCTAAAATTAAATCGTTGGAAAATAATTTAATGGTATGAAATAATGAAGAATGACACTGAATTGGTTAATTAGAAATGATTAAAGTTTAAATTAAGATTTGATTAGATTGATTAAACTGATTAGAAATGATTAAAAGATTAATTAAACCTATTTTTGATTGGATTAATTTGATTGATTAAAAATGATTAAAGGACTAATTAGACCAATTTTTGATTGGATGCATTAGAGTGATTAGGAATGATTAGATTTATTTGGACAAAATTATGACTGCATTAATTAATTTGATTTGAAATCATAGGATTTGTTAAAACTAAATTTTAAATAAATTAATTAAATTTGTCTTAATTAAAAATGATAAAAGTAATTAGATTAAATTCCACTTAAAACTGGCATTACAATCATTTCTAATAAATTCACAAGTAA